ATTAAACTTGTACAGCTCCAAGAAGACAAGCCAGTGATGCCATTAGGGCAGATTACAGGTCAGGTCAGTGGAGAGGCACTCATAGTAAGAATGCATTTTTTCAAGTATTCTAAGCAATAAAAAGGAGACTGATAGGTCATTGTCTTAGTGTGGAACATTCTAGGCAAAGCTATTTCATCATCTCCATGGAGACAAGCAGGTGGGTTCAGGTGTTGTGGAGGTTGTGTTATTTCCAGCTGGACATTTCAATAAGAGTCCATTTGTAAACTGTAGCTGCTGTCACTGTTTTTCTCTATGATCTAGCACCTTGTTCCATCTCTGTTCTCAAAGTTTACAACAAAAACAAGTCAGAAGTGTGAAATAGCAGTTAGGGAACAATGGAAGATGTTAAACAAACTAAATAAGAATCCAGAGCGAAATGAACCTAGACTAAATAAACGGGGATATGATTTTTATTGTTACCTTATTGCTGCTACTGGAAATACAAAATAAAGCTCTATTATCTCGACCTATACCTATGTAGTTGTAGTTTAGACCGACATTAGTCACAACACAACAGAATAGAATTGTTGGATCAGGTCAGTGTTTTCTTTTTTTATTGAGATCAAAGTGCTGACTCAGCCAATCAGAGAGCAGAGAAACCAGGCTGTACTTCAGAGCTGTCATATTCAACACAGTGGACAATAGAGGGACAATACACACTACTGCTTAATGACACGAGCAACATAGAAAATTGTGCAGAATATCTTATGCTTGGTGGTGAAGTTAGGAAATATAATCTGGCGGCAATCCATAAGTGTTCCTCCAGTCTCCTCTGATCATTTCAATAACCATTTCTTTACATTCGCAGCTTGCTTCTTCTTTTATAATGCACAATCTAGAGTCCTTCCTATAAAACCATAATTAAATGTGCTTGCTTTCCATATACTTTGTTACATGCATAACTGGGTTGATTGGTTGTACTCCCACTTTCATATAATAATAATAGCACAGGTTTGTCTGGGGAAAACAAAGGACAAAGGCAATGCGGTCCAAAAAATTACAAAGCTTTATTTTATGTTATGTCATTTAAAAGTAATTTCCTTTTTTGTCTTATGCACCAATCACTAAAATAATAAACAGCATCCTGTAAATTAACTTAGTCATGTCAAACCAACTAATTAAACCCTACGTAAGTTAAAGTGCTAGTGCTGTCTAAAGGCAGGGATAATGTGCTCATTGGCATTTAAAGTGCATGTGTCAAAGTGCTTTTTGCATTACCATATTTTCCGGGCTATTAGGCACGCTCTTAAGCCTCTAACCCTATCAAAAAACGACCACGCGCCCCGCAAGCCAGAGCGCCCTATACATGAATCCACTCAGGTGTCCCAGCACGACTTCAGTAAACTACAAAGCCGCACCACCCGCTGCGCACGCAAACACACACAGAGCAGACAGCGACCGCGCAGCGAAAAACACCCACGGCCACACTCATTATTCTACGTCGACGAGGAATGGAACGGAGGAACGAACCGGAAAAGCGAGTGCAATGTGCTACTTCTAGACACAACTGAACAACTGAGTCACTGCGAGCATACCGACAATCCACTGGTCCCAGACAGCACCCTCCCTACACGCCACTACTGAACAAAGCCCGGAGTCACCGTGAACGTGCCAAACAAAGTCCGACTGACCCATCCAACTGTTGTGTTTCATTTAAAGTCCGGTGCAGTTTATTTGTGAAAAAAGTTCAAAAATAGACCATTTAATGACAATGCATTTTATAATCCAGAGCGCCTAATAGCCCAGAAAATATGGTACTTTGTGTTAGGTTAAAACGCATGAAGTTCTAGATATTTAATGTGCCTAAAATGACTTGTGTTAATCCTGAGGCCTAACCCTCCAGTGCTCTGTGAACCTGCCATGTTGTGCACTTAACAAACCCCACCCAGGTTGCAATAGATTTTAGCTACCAAAAAGACTAACAGAGGAGAGGCTTGAATAGAGAGCAAAGATTACCAGCAGCAGCGTCAATCTGGTACTCAAGAAATTCAGTTCAAGTTTATTTATACAGCGCATTTAAAACAACTTCAGCTGACCAAACTGCTTCACATACAAGTCAACAAGAAACTGTTTCCTATACAGATATACAGATAAAATGTGAAAACTACAATAATAGCACCAAGATAATCCGACTACCTAGTACTAAATGCCAGGGAGAAGAGGTGAGTTTTCAGTCTAGTCTTAAACTGCGTTACAAACTGAGAGGATCTGACAGGAAGAGGAAGGTTGTTCCACAGTCTGGGCACTGCCACATGGCATTAATTTACTCCCATTAAACAAAATAGAACTGTACAGGTTAAAAGAGCATTTGCGTACATTCAGAAGATCGTGCCTCAAATGGGGCGTGATCAGAGTCACTGTCACCACAGCCAACTCTGTACATCACCTTCACAGATTACCAGAAAACACAAATTAGAAGAAGCTCCCACAACCGTGATTACTACCAGACAACACAACTTGTGCACCTTTTTCAAGTTTCAAATCAATGAAGCCGGGTGAGCCACACAAGGTGCCGCAATCACTGACGCACAGTAGTGGGAAATTACAGTACCTGTACCAAGTACCACAATTGTTACACATGTATTATGAAAGAGGATAGGCTGTTTATTTAACAATATGATCTTTATGGTTTTAGTTATTGTTCTTTTTTCTTTATGAGAGGGGCTCCCTCTTAATTTATTGTATTTGTTTACTAGAAGATACACAGAAGGCTCTCCACTCTTCTCACTATCAGATTCTTTTCTCATTGTACTCTGCCACCCACCTTGTGTAGCAGGTTCTTAAACAGCTGCCCCCTCCTTGGCCTGTGTGCCGTATAATCAAATGGGATGTGGCTATGTTCTGGTGACAGGCCTGTTCGGGACGTGTCTATCTGCTGAACGCCACACTGCTTTCTCTGTTATCGCCCCTCCAGCTTGCTCACGCTACACTTGTTTCTGTTCTTTTCAAACAGACGCGTGCATGATGGAGTCTTCAGAAACATAATAAGGCATGAAACTCATGTGGTTACGGATGGCAAAGACCTGATTGATGCTCTGAAAGTGTGAGACAGATGTAAGAATCAGGGCAAGTGGATTGAAGAGTTAAGAAATGAGCTGTCTTAAAGAGGGGAGATAAATGGTAGTGGGTTAAAATGGATTTAATCTGAATCTGTCAAGATGATACAGGTGTTAAGGTGTAGTATTTTACAATAAGATGATCCTGGAAATATGGTGGTTATCCTGACAGTGACAATCAAATGATATTTTTGCAATCAGATTTATGCACATTACATAAATGCATAGATAGTCGCGTTCCAAATAGGAAGCAAGTATGGGGACGCTTCCGGCTCCATCGACTCATTGACTTTACGTTGACTCCTGTCTCTGTTACCGCTGCAGAGAGCCTCGTCATGTTGGTCTTAAAACGTTTGTATTAATCCGCTCTACATGATCCTGGTGTTTTTGTATTATTTATGTTATGTATTATTTGGTTTCACAGCACTGCGGTCAAATTTCTATTATTGTGCCATAGAGCAGCTGATGGACTTATACTGCTCAAAAAGATTTAAGGAACACTTCAGATCTCAATGTGAAAAAAAATATATATATGTTGGGTATCTATACAAATATGGACAGGGCAATGTAGGAAAAAATGATGCTCCTCTTTTAATGGAAATGGACAACAGGAGCACTAGAGTGGCACCGATAAGACACCTCCTAAAACAGGACTGGTTCTGCATGTGGAGGAAATTTCAAGTTTCTCCCTCTTGGTGTTCCACTAGTACTGACTTTGGCTAGAGTGATTATCACTACTGGGAGTATGAAGCCATTCCTTAACCCTACAGAAACTGCACAGATTGTACAACTTCTCCAGGATGGCATATCCAGACATGCCGTTGTAACGAGATTTAATGTGTCTCTCAGCACAATCTCCAGAACATAGAGGAGATTTCAGGAGACAGACAGTTACTCTAGGGGAGCGGACAGGGCCATAGAAGGTCCTCAACCGAGGTTGCTCCTCAGACCTTAGAGGAACTCAGTGATGCCACAAGAGATCAGAGATCATCCCACAAGACACCATCCGTTGTGTCATTAGGAGCTTGCCATGACGTTGTCAAACATGAAGAAAAAAAAAAGTATTTCCATTAAAAGATGTGGCATCCTTTTGTTCTTAAAACATTGCCCTGTCCACATTTGTACAGACATCCAACATATTTTTCTTTTTTACACTGAGATCTGATGTGTTTTCAAAGTTTTTTTGAAGGAGTGTAGTTTACTGCTATTGATCCTATGAATGAATGCAGTAAAATGATCATTTAATCTCTGAAATCTCTGTGTTTGACTTCACTAGAATGAAAAGTAGAATATACTAAAAGAATGAAAGGATGATTTGTTTGTGAGCTCTCTGTTGTTAATCCAGATGCAGATAATTGTAGTAATTTAGCCAGAACATAGAGGTCCACTGTTTCATAACCACAACAAAGGACTATTCTACTCCAGCCCTCTGTCTTGGATCTGTTTTCATTATTGTATGACGTTAGTTCAACTTCTGTGCACTTCATCAGGTTCAGTGAAAGTTCAAAATTGATATCGAATTCTTCTAGCATTGCCAATAGATTTGTTTCATGTCACCATATACTACAGTCCGTATAGTTTAATTAAAACTGAGGTGGACGAGAGGTTAAAATTCTAGAGTGGAATTTATTGTTTAATTGTCAGAGTGCAGATTTGTTGTCCTGGTTTATGGTCAATATCCATGTAATTACTGGGTTTAATGACATGGAAAAAAAAAAACTTTCAAAACAGTGAATCTAGCATGTAGTTATAGGCTCATGGTCACAAGATTAGGACATCAGCAAATCCTAGAACCGTGAACTCAGCCTTTTGTGTGTATTGACTTTTTGAATTGCCAAGAAGCAGGCGTAGATTGTATGACATGTTATAATTTTCTTTTTTTTTTTTTTTTTTTTTTTGCAGGTGGTGGACTGCGCGTGGGATGAGACAGTGAAGATCTACACACCTGTTGGTCTACCTGCTGTCAGCGTTTAACATTAGAACATTGAAAACCAACACTTGATATTCCAGTATTGTAATAATAAATCCATGAGTTCTTCTTGGTACCTCTGCAATGTCTGCCAATGAGCAGAGTAATGTACTTTAAATTCAGACTTGAATAGAAGATCTTTGTCAAGCTTATATGCTAATTTCACAGTGAGTTTGCCTTCAATCTCCATGTCACTATGTGGTTTATCGTTACTAATTTAATGTCAGTTGTGACTAATGCTGTTTGTATGTTTGAATATCACATGTGTGTAATGTAGATAAGACGTTTCATTTCAGCACACAGACTGCAGTGCCTTCAAATAAAATCTGTTTGACTGGGCTCTCTTTCTCACTCGTAGTTGTTGCTATGTTAAACTATATTAAGGTGCACTGCAAAACTTTTCAGCTTGTCTCCATGGAGATGTTTTTGCTTTGCCCAGAATGTTCCATAGTATTACTCAAAATCTATGTTTGTTGCATGCTGTTCTGCTGTGCTCATGCTCATGCTGTGCTCTAATTATAAAGCGTTTTATTGTCCCAACGACAGGAAGTGAGCTGTCAGTGCAGGACGAGGGAGCGCACACCCTATTATACACGGGATGCAGTCCTGGAGGAGGCGTCAGACAGTAGGGGGCGTAAGATTCACCTACTGTTTGACAAAACCAAGTAAAGCAACCTAAAAGACATAACACTACACCATCAAGTGACGCTTCTGAGGAAGGCTACAGGAAGTGACTGAAACATGTAAAACAGGTAAACAAACTCTCCTGTTTGACTAAAAGAATCGCTAATTCGAACTGAAGACAGAATGAACCTTTACCCAAGAATGTTAGCATGCTAGTTGTTCTACACTGGTCTCTGACAGTTGTGAAAACTGTAAAAGAGTTTATAATACGCAGTAAACTCAGCACAAAGAATAATTAGGTTCAAAATGTTTAAGGTAAGTGAGGAATAACACTGGACCACTCCACTGTTTTCCATGTTTTTACACTAAACAGTAAAAATCAGGTACAGCGCCTCAAAGTATCAGGTGTTAAGATAAAAGTCATCTCTTGGGTAGACTGACTGAAAAGTGGCAGCCACACTGCTCATATCATTTAGTTCCAAAAATAATGTTGTATTTAAAGTAGTGTTGTCAAATTATCGCGTTAATTGCGATTAATTAATTACAGTCATATTTAGCAGGTTATGTTTTTTAATCGCGTTAATCTAATTTTTAATCTCTAACTTTACTGTTTCTGTATGCGAGTTGCTTTATTATAAAATCTGTTTTTATGTGTTGTTTGGACAACAACACACACACACAAAAAAACACATTTATAATTTTTTTATTTCGGTAATTCCACTCATTGCCGGAAACCCACACAAAACGCGCGCAGTAAGAGCGATGTAAACGTCATGTTAACGTTGGCGGCGTCAGTCTCACAATGGACGAGGTCGAAGAGCCAGTAGAACAGAGTCAGCAGTGCACAGGTAAAAACACATTCGTGTCTTGGAAATTCTTCTCCCGACGTGAAATATAAAAGAAAATAACAAATATAAAATCGCCTACAACTTAAATGTCACTGGTGAAAACAACCTGCATAGGCTCATGATGTCTGCACTACTGTCCTATAGTGACCTGCCACATGAGGGGACACGCACACAAACACAACACACACACAAACACAACACAAACACACACCTTCATCATCGTCATTAACCTGAGAACGCGCGGACCACGTTTCCTTCCGTAGTTACTGCGCGGACACCGCTGTCCTCCCGTGAGCCGTGTACATTTTCTCGCGTACGCTGCGTAAACCGCGCTTCCTCCTGTGCGCCTCTAAACCAGAACTAACACCAAGACTAAAACCGGGACTAACCCAGTCCAGGACTAAACCAAGACTAAACCAGGACTAAACCAGGACTAAACCAAGACTAAACCAGGTCTAAACCAGAACTAAACCAGGACTAAAACCAGAACTAAACCCAGGTCTAAACCAGGTCTAAACCAGGACTAAACCAGGACTAAACCAGGACTAAACCAGAACTAAAACCAGAACTAAAACCAGGTCTAAACCAGGACTAAACCAGGACTAAACCAGAACTAAACCAGAACTAACACCAGGACTAACACCAGGACTAAAACCAGGACTAACCCATTCCAGGACTAAACTAGGACTAAAGTAGGACTAAAACCAGGACTAAAACCAGTGATCTCATATATAAAGCATTTCTCTATCAATAATATTTTTAATATGGTTAAGGAAAGACTGGACTTTTTATTGTCTTTAAGTAGACAAAAGTTATTATGTTCAGATTTCCTCGTCTTTGCTACTTTACAGCAAACAGTTTCTTATTCATGGAGACTTGGGCTCAACAGACAATTTGAAGAGAACAAACAAGAACAACATTTGCAGGATGCGGTTGCTACATTCATGTAGTTTTAAAAGCTTAAAAGTTTTTAAAGCATGAAAATATCAAGTAATCCAAAGTATTCAAATTACGTTACTCACTTTAAGTAATTGAATGGATTCCGTTACAAACTACATTTTGGGATATGTAATCTGTAATCTGTAGGGGAATACATTTTAAAAGTAACCTTCCCAACACTGCAGATTAGTAATAGTAATAATAATGCTGATACTGTGGAATGTAAGTGACTGCATCTGTTAAAGTTTGTTAAACAATAAATGACTTTATAAAGTCACTTTTTTTTTTGTTCTATATCAGTCTTTTGATCTGCCACAATAATGTAATAATGCATTTAAATGAAAATACTTCAAATTGAAGGCTTTTCTCAGCAATTTTTAGGTGAGATTAAAAAGAGATTAATTAGATTATTTAATTACAGATCATACTTAATTAATCTTTTAATTTTTTTAATCGCATGACACCACTAATATAAAGCGCCTATGCTACATTATTTTCTAATCTATGTTATAACATTGTTTCCTCATTAAAAAATGCCTAAAGTGTTTTATTTTTTCAACACATCCTTAACTCACTTGAAAACTACTGCTTCATGACATCACAAGGTGGAACAGACCATTGTGAGTTTGTGAGATGTAGGCAGATTAATAATAAAGGGTTACTCAAACACACAACTCCAGGTCTGTTTTTAGGAGTTAACCACATTCTAAAAGCTCACAGGAGTCACTTTTGTCCATTATATGTGTTATATTATATGAGTGTACACTTTTGTTAACATGCTGTGGACGTGGGCTGCTTTGAATATACTCTAGTGTAATGTAATGTGAAGGAGACCGGGTTTTCCAGCTGAGATTTACTCTGACGCACTTGGAGGTCTTTGCGATATCGTCAGCATCAGCACAAAGTGATCTGATTGGTCCATAACTGGTCATGAGACATCTCTGTGCATTTGTTTATTACCATCATCAACACTGTTTCAGAGATATTTATAGGCACTAACACTGGGAAGTACAAACAAACCACGTTCAAAGGTTCATAAATTACTAAAGAAAAGTAGTTAAACTGTCCCTGTTATGCTACCTTTCTTCTTTGGCTTCATATAGTAATTACTGAGCATGTTAGTAACAACTAACTAACCTTCAACATATCTCTTGCTTTGTACCTTAATGTAATAAGAGCAACTCCTTCATCCTTACATTTAAATGTGAAATTATTCATCCTAATCTGTGGTACGTAAGGAATGTGTTCATTCGTTTGTGGAATGCGTCAGTGTTTCTACTCTTAATTTCTGTGTTAATTGGAAGCTAATGTTCTTGGCTCGATACGGCCAGCGCTGTGTCCCTAGTGTCCCCACGGTCAAGTCACTAACAAAGGATTTCAATTTAAATGTATATGGTAGTGTCTGAGGACGTTTGTGCAGCTGGGAGAGACACTAACATCTCTATGAAGAATGTAAGGCAAAAGAATGAATCCAAATACAGTTTGTAAAGCATAAAGGGTATCAGAGAAAATGTGGAAAATTAATCATGTTTTTATTAGGGGTGTGCAAAAATATTCAAATATCGTATCGTTTAATGTAATGATACAGTATCGATATCGTGGGCTGCTGTATCAATATATCACCAAGAGTATTTTTTGGTGCATTTTACTTAATTATTTTGTTACAGCGCTGCAGTTTTTTTGCTTGTGTAGAAGAAGGAAACTTGTGTATGCGACACATTTGATAGTTTCACAGTTTTGATTATTAAAATGTGTGTTTCATATGAACTTCATCCAAGAAGTGGTTTAACAAAGACTTTTAGTATCACAGCCATGATTTAGCCTTTTTTATTGAACCGTATCGAATCGATTTGAAATATCTTGTACCGTAGTGAAAGTGCACTGTTCAAAATATAAATTGTATCGTGGCCTATGTATCGAGGTATGTATGATATCGGTAACTTCTTAATGATACCCAGCCATAGTTTTGATATAGTTTAAGTGCACAAACTTTTCTCATGTGTGGATGGTCACCAGCTTCCATTCTTAGTGTCTTTAGCAGGGATGTAACAATATCCAAATCTCACGGTACGATATTTTCACAATATATTTTCACATCTCACGGTATGGTATTTATTGTGATATTTTGTGGAGTCAAACACAATTGTGAATATGCTACTTTTTCCTTTTAAAATGCGTTGACAAGACTAAATTAAAAGATCTAAGATTTAAAATTGAAGAGCTCACTGCTATTTCTTTATGTAGATTGCACCAAAATGGAGCAAAGGATCATGGTCGATGTAGTTCCCTGTGTTTTTTTTTTTAGCTATTGCTGCACCATAACAATGAACTTAAGCAAAGAAACTTGTGATTTGATATATTGTGATGACCCACGATATTACTGAGAGGCTTTTGACGATATGATATCACAATATTTTGGTTATTGTTACTAAAAACACCTGTAACTGAATAAATGCTAGATAGATATGTTTAAACTCATACTGTGAAACATTTCAGACAGACCCTAACATCATCATGGAGACAAGCAGGTGAACTGAAGTTACATAATGCACATTTTATGCATAAATAATCAGAGTAATTGTTTTGTATTACTCATAACAAAATTAGGTACAATTCCCATAAACTAGCAAAGAAGAAAATTAAATTCTGTCAACTGGACAAAAGTTTTCGCACTGTAAGAATCTTTTGCAGTTCTCTTTCAAGTCACAATCTTTTGGTAACACATGTACAACACTTCCTTTGTTGTGAGGCATTTTGCATTCATACTCACACTTTAATGATGCTCAAAAGAAATAACTTGGATTTTAATTGTATTGATTTGGTTAGAAAATAGTAGTTACAATTCTGCGTAATTATGGTAATAATTGAGTTTAATTGTTCATGAAATTCCGTTTGCTTGAGTTTTTGTGCATCAGTTTTACGTGGTAATTGCAGGCTAATTTTAAATCCATTTAGAACCACTTTCAGCGACTAAAACTGTGTGAAAGTGAATAATGGGGACAGGTCAGTAGATCCTCTGACTAAACAGAGACTAGGAGATTATGGGGACTTATTTACTTACTTACATACTTAGTGTTATGTGGTAAAAACATATATGACCATATATGGACACAATATAACAAAGGAATCCTCAAAAGTGGCCTACTTTTGAGGATTCCGTTGTTATATTTTTTCTGGCATCTTTTTGTAAACTGACTTTAAACTTTATCACCTAATCCTTTATCAGTTCATTCTCTCATTTATTTAATCTTTGCTCAGGCTTTAGAAACAAATTAGAGCTTTATCAGTTTCTCGAGTGGAATCAATTAACGCTACATTAAAACTGGATACACTCCTCTACAGGGGTCAGGGAACTAGTTAATCTCTCTTGGCTGTATATTGTTTTTACTATCTGATCTGAATGTTTGCTTGGTGAATCGTGTGAATGAGCATCTTCCAGCTTTTATTTTAACAAACGAATAGAAGCAGAGAATGAGATGAGTGCCCAGGTACATAGGTTATGTCTAATAAGCAGGGGCTCATCAAGTCCTGGGGACAAACTAATAGACATAATAATATATAAGGTGGGGTACATGTTTATTGAACCCCTGCCTGGAAAGTTTGATGTTGTATAGCTTGCACTGCAGTATTTGTAACCTACGTTTTTGCCTTTAGGAAGATCGCCTCTGCATCTCAATGAAAGCTCCATAGCTCATGACACTAAACTAAAGTTAACGCGAAGAGAAACCCCCCCAAACCGCGGGATTTCAGCACTCACGACATCCCCGGGTCCACCCCCTCTCCCCCGCCTTCTCTCTCTCTCTCTCGGGCCAATAGTCGCTGCGGCAAAATGTCATATTTCACAACGAGCCCCGGCTCTCTCAGAGCGCTCACTTTGTACGGGACCTCACAGCGGAACCGGGCGACTTCATTCCCTAAAGTTATTGATTGAGATTTCATAATCAGAGATTTGCTAATTGTACTGAAAAGAAGTTTAGTTTGGTGCGCCTTTGTGGAAGAACTATGCTGTGGATGAAGAAAGCTTTTTGTTTTTCCACTTTTATTTTCTCAAACTAAACATGATAAATCATTTAACCTTTTCTCCTGCGCAGAAACTACTTTTGCTCACCTAAATGCATGTGTAGCTGTGCGCAAAAGCTGTGCGTAATATCCAAACCCTCCTCGGTTTGAACGAGTGAACCTCTCCATTCACACTCACACGAGGACCCGCATCAGAGCGCGCCATGGACGTACTGCGGACCCGGTGGTTGGGCATCTCGGTGGCCGTGGCACATGGCGTGTTCTCGGGCTCACTCAACATCCTCCTGAAGTTTCTCATCACTAACTACCACTTCGGCTTTCTGACGCTCATCCAGTGCCTCACGAGCAGCACCGCAGCGTTTACGCTCGCGGTGCTCCGGAGAACGGGGAAAATCTCCGTTCCGCCGTTCACCTTCCAACTCTGCAAGGTAGGCTAAGAGACGTGAACTTAAAGGTGCAGTATGTAACTTTTCTGGAGGACAGTCTGCCACCTACTTTTCACCAAGGTGATGTTAAAGCTTCGCGCAATATTCCACAGTATGGCATTATTATTTTGCGTCTTGCATTTGTTCAATTACAAGAGCTTGTAATGAAAAATACCTTGAAAAGTTCATTGTGACAGGATCACCTGTCCACAGGTCTGACCTGGTGGAGTCTCCATGGAAAAAGATGTGTGAAGCCAAACGGTGAATCATTCTTGCCAAAGTAACATCGCAATATGTTAATTGACACGAGGAGGTGGCGGACCCTCCTCCAGTAAAGTTACGCAGTGCACCATTAGTGTTTTCAAATTGGTCTTATGGTGTATTTGTAATAGTGCAATTGCTCTTGTGTAGCATTGACCTGAGCAAATTGATGTGCAAAATACTTCCACACCTAAAATGTGTAAATATGCATTTGAAGGTGTTAATGAGAGCAGACTGTCCAACTGTGACAAGTGAATTTACCTCATACTATTTAAGTTGCCTGATCCTCACTAGAGCCTTTACTTACATCCCACAGTGATACTCAGGATTATCATTTTAATAGACTGATATACTTCTTTTACTTTATCATAACTCCCTCTAATTACAGCTTTGTAGTACTTTTAGTACAGTTCTCTACAGGTCTCTGCTGAACAGAGTTTTAATTTGACTTTGAAATCATGGTAAATCTGTTGTAATGCCAAGAATAGGCCACGATAATCAAATATTACTATATATATGTTTATTTAGTTTTAGCCCCTTTATATAGGCCAATAAGGCTATTTTAACATTTATTTTCAAATACACAAAAATACATTCTTTTCAACCATTTTGTTTCAGTCCATTTGGTGCCTAATTGCCTTATAATACTGCCCTCAGTTTTGTCATTTTACAATAGCCTAAAAGGCATTATTAGCTGCTTGTAATCCCCTCCCGTCTGAAGTGTGGCATAAATTCAGGTTTTTATAGGCCTAAAGCTGCAGTATATTTGACTCCTTTAGTGCACTGCTCTCAGATGATGACAGATATTGATGGATGAAAATGTGACTTGCTGATCACAACTGGTGGTGATCAGCTGAAGTGTCCTGCCATCTGATTGGTCGATTGAGTGAGTGAGGTCTTGAGTGATTGGCTAATTGAGCGGCTGACAGGTTGACGGACTGCTTCTCTTTGCTCCATTATGTTTATGGGAAAAGGAAAAGCAGGAATTTATGAGCATATGTGCCAATATTTGAAAATACGTGCGGTGGACAATTTCACTCCACAACGATTTTTTCGGAATTTCCGAATTTTTAAGGCAGTAACTTGTGACCTAAGCATGTGAGTCAAATTTGACATTTTGTGGTTTTCAACTGTTACATGAATCAGTTTTGGGGCAAAGACTTTATTGTAAGACTATGTTGTAGTCAGGGTTACAGTCACCACATTTTTCATATTGACTGTGTTTTATTTTCATACAAAATATTGAAAATGAGAATCTACAAATTATTAAACAGACCATTCCAACTTGCAATGTCATGACACAGCAGTTTTCATGTTACCAGCTATTATAGCTTTTACCTGTTGGTCAGTAGAGATCGGAAATTCCAGGGTTGGAGTCATCCAAATGATTCTAGTGAAGGTGTATGGAGTTTAAAAACACAGTGGAGCACTTCCTGTATTAACACATGACATCACAAGGTGGACTAGAGTGTTTTCAGTTCGAGAGAAGAACTCAGCTTAAATATGTCGGGTCTGTGTGTTAAACATGTGTGAATGAAACAAAACACAACTCCAGGAATGTTTTTGATGAGAAAACAATATTATAACATACTAGATGAGAAAAAAAGCGTAATATGAAAATGAAATCATCTAAAACCCAGTTCATGTGTTCATACTAGTGCATGGAGCCTTCTGTTACATAAGGCCTCTAATTCAGTAGCATTAATCACTCTAAACTTTACATTGTCTGTTTCTTCTTGTAGGATTTTGCTCCAGTGTGCATCCTGTCCACTCTCCAGTCCACCCTGACACTGTGGTCCCTGCGCGGGCTCAGTCTGCCCATGTATGTGGTGTTCAAACGTTGTCTGCCTCTCTTCACGCTCAGCATAGGGGTCTGCGTGCTCCGAAATGGAATCCCGTCCATAGGGGTGGTGGTGGCTGTGCTCATCACCACCGGGGGAGCTGCTCTGGCGGGTAAACACAATTTTTGCATTATGAAAATTATATTTGTTGTTATAGCTCCAAGCTTATAAACAGGTGACGTTATGCTGGAGATTTCAAGGATGCTACAGGAGGTTCTTCTTGTTCAGGTTTATTTTAGTTATTCAAAGCTATTTCTGTTACTTGACTGCTTATGTTTATAACATGGAATAGACAATACTGCACACTTTTACAGTAACATTTTTAATGTTCAGTTCTATTTGTAATTCTGGCAGTATATCCTGGTGACCTAATACTGTATGTATATAATTTTTCCAACAAGGGCTTGTTTTCCATTGGTACTTTGAACATGCTTGTTTTTTTCTGCTTTACGACAACTTTTGATTAAAGGTCCTATATTACATAAAATTGACTTCTGTTAGCTTTTAGCCATGTTATAATGTTGTTACTTCCTCAAAAACATATCTGGAGTTGTGTTTCATTTCATTCACACATGTTTGAGGAACCTTTTATTATTAGTCTGTCTACATCTCCAAAGCTCAAAACACTCTGCTCCACCCAACATGCTCTGTTCCACCTTGTATAGTTTTCAAGTTAACAGCTACCATTTAATTTTTGCTAAGTAATGATTGGAAAATTCCTGGCTGAAATTATCCAAATGATTCTAATGAAACCTTATGGAGTTTAAAAACACAGTGGAGCATTTCATGTATTATCACATGACATCACAAGGTGGAACAGTGTGTACGTTTGAGGAAAAAAAAAAAAAAAACACCTCAATATGCAGATGTTCTGTGTTAAACATGTGTGAATGAAACAAAACACAACCTCAGGTATGTTTTTGACTATTATAACACACATCATAAAACTGCATAATAAAAAGTCAGAAGCATTTCCCCGTGACTTGAATGCTCTTATGAAATGATGAGTTGAAAATTCATTATGCGTCATGTGAGTATAGTATTACGTCAGAAAGTCTATTTGTGATATAACTGTAAATGTGTTAGAGATTTCACATTTAAGTGAGTCATTTGAAGCTTGTTCTTGTAGATTGTTCTTGTATTTGTACCATATCTGTCACATTGCAGATTGCATCTTCGTTTGTCTAATGATTAATCACTATTTCTGTTACAGCATTTGAACACTTATTCTAGCCCTGAAGGGACATTTGTTTCTGTTGTGGCACTAGTCCAAGTCCATTTGGATCCATTTACTTTACTTTCCAAGCAACACTGTAAGAAACATCTGTGGAAATCATTTCACTGGGCAGCTATAATAAGAACATTCAATTACATCCACTGGCACCCTTTAAAGATGCACCATGTAACTTTTCTGATGAGGGGAAAATTTACTCTTGTGAGGTTTAAGCCATGTTAGAATGTTTTTAACTCCTCAAAAACATACCTGTAGTTGTGTTTTGTTTCATTCACATGTTTGCGTAACCCTTTATTATTAGTCTGTCTACATCTCCAAAGATCAAAGTGCTCTCTTCCACCTTAGGATATTATGTAGTGGTAATTGTCAAGTTAACAGCTACCATTTACCTTTTTTTTCAGCAAAGATTGGCAATTCCAGGGCTGAAATTAACCATGTGCTTTTAGTTAAGGTGTAAGTACTATATTTGCCGTAAAATGTGTAATGAAAAAGAAAAAAACATATAAGTCGCACCAGACTATAAGTCACACTTTTTGGGAGAAAGGCAAGTTTTAGTAATAACAACATAATAGAGAACAACAGGCTGTTAACGTGACAAATTAAGAGTTATTCAGGTAACTATAGCACAAACAATATAACAAGTTTACCAAACTCTCCATCTCGCTCCATATCACTAAATCCATTGAATTCTTCATCCTCTGTGTCACTTCTAAGCAACTCCAAGACCTCCAGAGGTAAACAGAACGCCTCTTCCTCCTCTGTGTAGCTGTTGTCAAACTCAGCATCAGTTCCAGTTAGAATTATTCTGGCCTTTCTGAATCCCGACAGGATGGTTTTGGTTGTCACTGAAGTCCATGCTGCTCAATTACCGTTTTCGGCTGCATACTTCGCTACTTGCAGCTTGTAATCTGCAAAATGTGATTTTCTTTTTGGAGGCATTTGTGTTCAGTCTTCTCAATTGTTTTTATAAGTTTAAATTTTTAATTTTCAGTGGTACAGAAATAATAGTGTGATCGACTGACATAATACAGACAGGACAGAGGCTCTTTCTGCAGAAGACATGCGCAGTAGAGCCAAGTGACAGTGGTACATGAGTAACAGGAGTAGCAGATACTGACACACAAGCATAGAGCGCCCTCTCGTGGCTGTCAGTGTGAAAATAATATATGTAATATATAAGTTGCACCAAGTGGTCATAGTGGTCATAGGGCCACCCAAACCATGAAAAAAATGCAACTTGTAGTCCGAAAAATACTGTAGTTTAAAAACACACTGGAGCATTCCCTGTATTACCATATGCATCAGAAAGTGGAATGGAGTATTTTCTGTTTGCGAGAAGAAGGGCTTGTGGGTTAAACATGTGTGAATGAAACAAAACACAACTCCAGGTCTGTTTTTGATAAGGAAACATTATAGACATTATAGGCATTATAACATAGATCAGAAAATAGTGTAATATGAGTCCTTAACATTGCAAAAATCATTCAATTGCAGGTCTTCTCATTGCTCAAAAATATGCATTGTTACTGTGAACGAGCTCATCTCTTCGCAGATCTGACCCTCCACCTGAAAAGTTACATAATGCAGCTTTAAATGTGAACTTTCCTATACACACAAACATAAAAAACTACTGCATCTGTGTACATTTTAAACCCAATCATCTCCCTTTTTTCCATTGGAGATTGCAATTATTCCAACAACCGTGTGCTATTGTGCCTTCTGGACATTAGCCAGTTAGCTTCAGAACTGCACCGTTAACTCGCATGACCCCTCTTCGAGAGTCTTCAATTCACCTATAACATTAACCAAACCGTAATGTACATTTTAATCTGTATCTTGTGTATTTTTTCCTGTGCATCATCCCCATTTCTGCTTCATTTAGCACTGACTTTAATCACAGTTTCTTGGCAGTGCGTTCCTATTTTCCATTAACACTAATGATCTCCGAGTCATAAACAAAAACGTACATATAATTCATCCTCCCAATCAATCTCTGCAGTGTTTCTCAAGCTGCTGCGGGGGCTCAAAACGTGAACTGTGAAATATGCTGAGTATGAAACTAATGGACAGATTAATCATGGCTAATCTTTTCCAATAATCACGCTTTTCTGCTGTACCGGGGATGTAATATTTGCTTCTTTATAAGCCACCTCGGATTAGTCAAGCGGAATGTGAAGAAGATATCATGTTGGGATAATGTGTTTTTCGAAGACGGCGCCAACAATAAACAAATAAATAAACAAAAATCAAAACAGAGTAATATGATTTTACGCTTAGATAATCCTGATACGGCTCAGAGGATGGTTTTCATTTCATGCAGTAGATGGATGGAAGTTATTTGAGGATACACTTCAAGTCTAAGGAAGTTGTAAAATTGTTAAGTGAGAATTTTATTTGTTCCAATGCTGTGGAGATGTGAGATATGGAGGGGGGAGGTTAGGCTGGGTGATTGTTTTGTAATGGATAAATAAAAACGTTAAGATGGCTTCAGTTTGAGTGTGTGGTCAGTGAGGAAATAAAGGTTTAGTTATGAAATTAGATCGAGTAGACCTTGTTACAGCCAGCAACTGCCAACCTAAACTCCTTGTAGAATCGATGTTTCACTAACTAGTTAACTACTACTAGTTAATTAACTCTTAGAGGGTAGAAAACAGCAATGTAATATGCAATGCGACAAAAAACATTTCTTAGAGGTCCTATATTACAGAAAATTTTATTCTGTGAGCTTTTAGTCATGCTAGATTGTTGATGCCTCCTCAAAAAACATTTAGAGTCATGTTTTGTTTCATTCACACATTTTTGGGTAACCCTTTGTGGTAGTTTTTTCTAGTTAATAGCTACCTTTTACCTTTTGTTCAGTAGAGACTGGCAATTCCAGGGCTGCAAATTATCCAAATGACTTTAGTGAAGTGTATGGAGTTTAAAAACACAGTGGAGCACTTTCTGTTTTCCCTCATGGCATCACAAGGTGGAACAATGTTTTGCATTTGAGAAAAGAACTTGCCTAAATATGCAGGATTTGTGTGTTAAACGTGTGTGAATGAAACAAAACACAACTCCAGGCCAAGTCAAGTGATGTTTTGAAGAATGTTTTCTGTAGCGTAAGAAATCTGAGCGCATGATGGAGCTAAATCTGAAGTTTTATGCTCACACTTGAATGCATTTATGATTTCTTTGACTGGTGATGCATGTGTTTAAGTCTTTTATTGCTGTTCAGGTGCTGGAGATCTGACCGGGGACCCGTTTGGTTATGTCACTGGGGTGTTGGCTGTGATCATCCACGCCTCGTACCTGGTCCTGATCCAGAAGACCAGTATAGAGAGTGAGTTTGGACCCCTGACCGCGCAGTACGCCATCGCCTGCACTGCGTCGCCGGTATGTGCATATATTTAAAAACTCTAAAGTTAATGACATGTAAATATACCCACAAAAGGTGTATGCTATAGTCACGCAGTATTCAAATTTGTTTCTACAAAATCCACACTAAGACAATGAGGATTTGCAAGCATTGCAATTAAAATGCAGTCTGCAGCTGCTTGTATTTCTACATAGATTAACCTTTAATGACTGAGACAGGATTACTCTGACCGGTAATTGTATTGCTCAAGGTACATTATTAGCATGCATAGCAACATTAATATGAGAAGTTTACTGTAATTGTACTCAAGCTTTCCATTTATGTCACGTCTGCATTCCCATTGTATACATGTATGTACTTATATAAGTGTATTTAAGCATTTACATATGTGTGTATTTTCTTCTACCCATGGGTTTCAGAATGATAAAAAATTATGACTGTTGCCATAGTAATTATCCCTTTAAAAATACATGTAGCAACACAAACAGACATACCTCATCCCACTGAAAATGTTTTCTAAGATATATTTATTTTATTGGATGAGAAAGATAGTTTATCCAGCTTCAAATGTATCCTGAAATTGTTCTATATTTCTTATAGACATGTTGATTTAAAGCAGACCTATTATGCAGAATCTACTTTTTCAGGGCACTCTACCATGTTATAGTTCTTTTCCTTACACCCCCACTTCTCTGTATTTACTTCGCTCTCCAATTTTATTGTCTTAATTGGTGATACATGTAGGATTTTGCAGCATCATGTAGTCATTTTGTTGCAAATGAAAAAAAAAGAAAAAGCTGCTACTTGTTAATGTGATCTGCACCTATCCATAGGAGGGGCCGACAACTTCATGGCTCTTTGTTGTGATGATGTTTACGGCAACATCAGCTCCCATCGGGCAGTTTTCTAACGCTGAAGTCAGCATACTTGTTTTTATTAAGTCATTTTAGATGAGTATTATGATTTAAAATGCAAATGTGCAAATTATAACAGAATGATCCCCAGGTGTCAAGATCCATCGATCTAGCCATCCATTTTCTTTCGCTTATCTGGGGCCGGGTCGCGTGGGCAGCAGTCTAAGCAGGAACTCCCAAACTTCCTTCACCCTGGACACTTCCTCCAGCTCCTCCAGGGGGACCTGAAGGCGTTCCCAGGCCAGCTGAGAGACAAAGTCCCTCCAGTGTGTCCTTGGTCTTCCCCAGGGCCGGTCAAGATTATAACTATATTAAAATGACCAAATTTTCAAAATTCAGAACTGGGACACACCCGTGTTGGGATGGTTGGTATAAATAAAACTGTGAAAATAGCGCGTAACATTGTCAGTTCTCGACTCACTTGTGGGTCAGTATATTATCTGAGGCACTTATGTTGGCACATTTTCAAGCACAGTTTTCTGTATTTTAGCTTTTCTTGTATAAAACCGGGACAAAACACTGGTTTTGGATAAATCTGGGACAGGGAACACAGGGCTCCAAACTGGGACTGTCCCCGGTGAATAGGGACATCTGGTCACCCGAAACTACATGGCCGACACAATCACAATATGTCTTCTTTAACAGAACTATTTGCGTCCCTTTAGGTGCTGTTCGTCTGTGCCATCATCTCTCTGGACGCGGTTCACATGTGGAGCTACGAGGGCTGGAAGGACCCCCACGTCACCTGCATCTTCATTCTCTGCATCTTCATCGGCTGCGCTATGAACTTCACCACTCTGCACTGCACCTACATCAACTCCGCCGTCACCACCAGCTTCGTGGGCGTGGTCAAGAGCATCGCCACCATCACCGTGGGCATGCTAGCTTTCAACGACGTGGCGCCAACCGGACTTTTCATCGGAGGTGTGGTAGTCAACACGGTGGGCTCCATAACTTATTGTGTCGTGAAATATTTCGAGACTAAGAAAAAAAGCGCTTACGAGGATTTGGAAGGCGAAGGCAAAGATGGTGGACTTCCCGGAGAGCCGTATAGCGAGAAGCCCCAGCTAAACGGCGACGCTACCGGAGCTAATACAGAAGCGGAAGGGGAAGTGGCGATTAACGACTTAGCTAACGGCCAAGTGTTGACTGCTGATGCGGAAGGAGGCGGTTTGAATACCAGCATTATGACGGATACGGAAATGCTAGAAATGCAAAGAGAACATCTGCATAGAGAAAGCGCTCCCCCTAGTGGTCAATCGGCGAGCGATAGCTACTTGGGAGTTTGGAGATCCATAAAGAATTTGCAGTTTATGAAAAAGGACACGCTCATTGACAACATGGAACAGCAAAGTCCATAAGTCAAGCAGGGGAACTGACGCAAATATTTGTTTGTACTGCTTAGCATGTACTGGCTAAGATACATGCGATAACTGGAAAAAAACTTGAAACGGACTTCTAGAACTAGCAACATGGACCCCTTGAAAACAGTGAAGAAATTATGCTTGTTTTATCTTATTAAATTTCACTGTATTCAACTCCGAATGTTGCCAAGAAAGATTGCAAAATGGCAGCATGGATAGACTAACTAAACGTGCCGATACTATAGGAAAATTGTGGCTAAGACTAGAAGCGATGCACTGGTTATGGAGATTTCTGTTCCCAAGACAAAAAAAAAAGAGACAGAAATCCATTTTAAGGTGAACCGTGACTGTGGCTGTGGTTCAAATGTGTTCTGTGTTGATATTGGAGGATGTCTTGAAGAAAGGCCCTTGGTAATGAGGACAGACAGGCTTACAGTGGCATTAGGGTTATTTCTTGGCACTGGCTGCTTGTACCTTTCAAACAGAGAAAAACAATTTGCCCAGAAGAATTCCTAAGTGCTGCCAAGGAAAATATACAATCCCCTCTAAAATGTCAACTTAAAAAATTAAACAGACATAGATGATGGCTGCTTCAAGAGATCAGAGTTTACATCCAGGATAGGGTGACCAGATTTTCAAAATTAAAAAAAAAACATGGGTTGGGATGGTTGGTGTGAATAAAATTGTGAAAAACCACGTAACATTGTCCATTCTTGACTCACTTGTGGGTCACTATAGAATAGAATGACTCCTGTTGGTGCAACTGAGTGCGTTTTTGCCTTATGATCATGTACGGGTTTCTGTATCTTAGTTAAACTTTACTTTATTGTTGGCGGGTATCACATTGGTCAAAACTGGGATATTTCTTGTATAAAACTGGGACAAATCACTAGTTTTAGATACATCTGGGACTGACCAGGGTAAAAAATGATGTCTGGTCACCCTAATCCAGAAGGACAGATCAATTTTGGGAAAATATATAGATGTATGCGTGTGTGATTTTTTATTTTATTTTTTTCTTTTGAAGATTTTTTGGTATCCTTAGCTTTTCAGAATAGATCTGAACTACAAAGTTTGCTGGTTTTATATACAAAAATACTTCATGTTGTTTACTGAGGACATTATTTTACCCAACTCAATTGAACCTTTCAAAAATTGCCTTTCGATTTGATTGTAATTTCTATTGCAGCACTAACAACCATCTTAATGACAGCTCCAGATTCAAAATGCCTGTAGTTAAATCAAACATATAGACTGTAAGATAGCCACATTTTCTTTGTGCAATACATTTTATCGTATTTCTTTTGTTTTATGTTTTGTCTGATTACATGAATGTCAGTGGGGCGTGCCTTGTTCATATTATATACATGGCTTTCTATATTGTTGCTGAGTTGGGTTAGGGTTGGGAAAAAGTGTAACTGTGATGTGTTCACAGTGCACAATTTAAACATATCAAAGAGCATTAAAGGGGTTGTACCGGATTTTTACAGAATTAATTCATTTTAAGGAGTTTACAGTGGTCCAGTTATTCTTTGCTTACATTATGCATCCTAATTATTCACAGCGATGAGGTTAAAATAACTTTTTACATCTTAACGAGACCAGAGTGGAGTTTTGCTGTCATTTTTAAGCTAAAAACTATCATGCTACCACGCACCTCCTGATGCATGCTTTATAATTATATGCGGACAAAACACGGTAGACCTATTTTGACCTCAAGAGTTTGTAATCATAAAAAAAGACATGATATTTTGTTGTTAACACACATTACTTAGATAATTTCAGTCTTTACCAATTAGGCCCATGCTAATTTTAATTCCCATTTCAATTAGATTGCAGTGTCTGCAGTTTCAGCTCAGTTATATGTTAAACTTAGAGCTGATTATTCAGTGGAAAATCCCTATTGCCACTATATTATGGAAGGACAGAAAAGCTGCTCTAGCTCTACTTTCTAATGTTAATCATCACAGCCAATAGAGAACACACTGTGGACCTGTTTTTGTGTAACTTGAAAAATACCTTGTGTGTGGAGAGTCTGTTTGTTGGAGATAAGCCTTGTGCAGTACCTGTGCAGTACCTTTGCAGTACTTCAGGAGTGGGCATACATTAAAATGTTTATAAGTGTTGTGTGAAAACTCTTCAGGGAGAACTCAATGTGTGTTTTGTTGTTTCAAATCAGGGAATTATTGTTTCTGAGCCGCTACTACTGTAAGCAATTCCAAGGGTGTTTTTCATCATAAATACAGAATTTGCCATTATCTGTATAATCTTTCAAGTCAGAGGGCCCCGACTGGTGAGTCAGGACACTAAAATGAAGAATTGAAAAATAACGGTAGATGGTTTGCATCACTTATTTCAGCTAAGAGTATCACCTCTGATCTGACAAGATCCATCTGCAAAAACAAATCATATGTGAGCTCACTTCTCTTTCTCTCATGTATAGGACTTAATACTAAAACTACTCTTATGAATAATGATGAAACATAAATATTTTATAAGATAAAATTTTCTGAAAACATCTGAAATCTTAGAATGGACTACATCTTACTCAGAACCAGTATGAAAAGGTAATAATAAATTACTATTCTGTTTTGAAAAACTAGTGTTTCAATTAATTGTGCCGTCTAAATTAGTACCAATTATTTTCCTCAGTACCAAAATTAAGTTACAAATCTTAGGTTTTATAACTGTAAAACACACCATAAGAAATGCTTGAGAATGTATAGGCACTTACATTATGTTGAAAATTAAAGTTAATTACAAACATCCAATACTGAGTCCATAATACTGCATAAGACAGTTCTGATGTTCTGTGATGTTTGATGGAAATGTATGCAAAACCTGCCATATCACAAGCAGCATGTTTTGACCTTTAGAAGCATTAAGAAAGATCTGCTTCCAAAAATATTTAATCAGACAAGAAATAATCCTCTCTCTGCATGTTCCTGACTGTGGGCGAGAATCATGCAAACAGCTCCTTTCCCAGATGCTAAAAAACTAAGTAGTTTAAGTCATTTGACTTGCAAAATGTGACATTTCAACTTGAATTTTAGAAGTTGAAGCATTTTCAAAAAAACTGAAAAACTGAAAGATACACTTCCCTCTAAATATATTGAACTTCTTTGTATGAAACAACGTATACACAATGCACTATGTAAGTTCTCTGGTGTGGGGTAAGCAATGTGCTTGTCTCTGTGGAGATGTATTTATTTGCCTGTAATGTTCCACAGTTTTGCATTAAACATGTCTATGTTTATCTTGAAAAACATTTCTTATTGTGAGCAGGCTTGCTTCACCACAGGTCTTACAGGTAATGGTGCCACATGCTTCCATGGATATATATATATAAGTGTAATGCATGCTGTGGAACATTCAAAGGAAAGCGAGAGCATATCAGTGGAAACAAGCAAAGTACCATCAACAAGAAAGGTTACATAATGCACATTTATTACAGTTTAAATTATGACTTATGGCTATGTCTGGGATAATTTATTGAAAAAATATCCACACTTTATGTAAACAAGGGATGTCTAGACTCGATCACTCCAAACCTGGGACAATGGGCTGGACAGTGTAATTGCAGATGTCTGTTCGCTGCCCACACAACAGAATGTGACTGGAGTGACTAACACTACAGACAGCTGCCTACGCATGTCCACACCATGTCCAAAAACTGTGAACAGCTCAGACAAGTTTTGGTTTACTTTTGTGTAAGTTTAGACATTTTGCCAGAGTGATTTTCATAAAACTTTTGAAGCCACCAGACATATCTGATGCCTCTGGTGTACTTAGAAGAACCAGTATAAACCAACAGCAGAAATCCCTTATGTTATTTTAAAGGAGCACTGTGTAACTTTTCTGGTTGTTGGTCTGCCACACCTGCTTGTTTCCATGGAGATGTTATTGCATTGTCTAGAGTGTTCCACAGTAAAGCCTGAAACATATCAAACCTGTAACAACATGGACTAGCAAGCAGATTTTCCACCAGAAAACTTACATAGTGCCACTTTAATGATAGTAAATCCAGTTTTTATATAAATAGACTCGACTTTGGTTTTGGACATTAATGGTCTTTGGTTGAGAAAAGAGAACAAGCAGTAACACGGGACACAGGACAATTTCCAAATAGTTGTTTCCAAACATTTTATTACCTCGTGACTAAACTAACTCTAAATCTGCTCTAGCGTGTGACATAACACATAATACTGCTGATCAAAGTTTACACCAAGATCCAATTTGTGAAAGAAAGTAGCCCTATTATGCAAAATCCACTTTTCAGAGTTTTTAACTGTGTCAAAGTTGTTTCCCCTCACCATTTTGTATTTGGAGTGATTTGTGCAAGTTTGAGCAATCTTTAATTACTTAATTTCAAGACATCAAATTTCCAGTTAACTCATATTTTCACCACCACCAACATTCACTTTTATTTTCTTAAAGGGACAGTTCGGAATTTTGGACATAGGACCTCATTTCCTAGTTAGCCAGAGTAATGGAGACATGTGGAGACACTTTGAAATAAAACTAACCTTGCATCGCATCAATCGTCGCATGCTGAGGGACTATTTTCTCATATATCAGTCCGCCACAGCCAAGCTTTCTACCAGGAAGTACAACTCGCTTCCTGCTGCTCAGACATAAATCCTTCAAATGCAAGGTTGGTTTTATTTCTAAAATGATTCTATCGACACAGACATTCACATCAACAGTCTGGCGTAATAATAGATTTGCTTCGGGTGTTTTGTGGAGTGGGTAAGACTGTTTTTAGTGGCAGGCTAACTATGGCCATTGACATCCACTAGCCTAGCACCATCGACCTCTGCAAATACAAAGACTGGATGGAATATTTTAAAAAGTGTCTTCATTCATCTCCAACACTCTGGCTAACTAGGAAATAAATAAGGTCCTATATCCAAAATTCCGAACTGTCCCTTTAACTTGTGATATGTGTAGGATTTAGCAGCATCTCCTTGTCATTTCGTTAAGCTTACACCAATGGTTATTAAAGGTACACTATGTAATTTTTTTGGTTGGGGGTCCGTCACATGCTTGTTTCTATGGATATGTCATTGCTCTGTCTGGAATGTTCCAGTCCCAGTATGACATTAAACTGCTCTACTGTAAATTTATTCAGTTAAAGGTGGTTTTATAGCTCAAAAATACCTAGAAAAACTTGCATTCTGACTGTGAGCGGGGTCACCTCTCTACAGATCTGACCTGTAACTTTGTCTGATTTGGTCACCATGAAGATAGAAGGTGTTGTGAAACATTCCAGACGAAGGAATAACACCTCCATGGAGAAAAGCATTTGATCGGCCCTCCACGAGAAGAGTTACACAGCGCACCTTTAAGTCATTTTAGATCAATATTGTGATTTCAAATGTCCAAATTATAACAGTAGCAGTAGGCCTTCTTTAAAACATTAACTATAGTCTACTTTTTGTCTGACCTGACCCATCACTTAATGTCAATCTTCCTCAAACATCTCTATCCCACAAAAGTGCTTCAGGTCCTGGTTTGGGGACAGAAAAAGACCTCAGTATTGATCCAGTATTGATTTGGTCTTCACACTCTCTAAACTTCATTTAACGCTACAAGATCCCCGCTGTCGCCCTGAGCAACAGAAGACAGCCACACCACAAAACTGCTCCCCTTCGCACTGACACTACAAGGGGTGTTCAGTGAGATAGATCAACAACATGAGAGGTGTTTAAGAACCAATCTCAAACTGGGAAAATTTACAACTGTAGTTAAAAGTCAATTGGAAACACTGAGTCACTGCTTAGTCCTGGTTGCTTTGATATTCTGGTGCATTTGAAGTTTTTGAGACTGACAGAAAATAGGTGATTTTAAAAAATATCTTATTATTAAGTACTGCAAAACCATTTAGATCATTTTCAAACTCATTTCATTTCATTGAGGAACTATTATTGTATTTTTCCTCACTGTCTTTAGATTCTGTACAAATTCTATAATATAAATGTTAAATTATTATTTATATTGTTAAATTATTTTTGAGTCTTTTTTTTCCCCAGAACTTCAGATTTTTTTATCAGTTTGTTATGTTTTCTAGTGTCTTTGTAAACCTATAAATTGCCCTTTTAGTGATACAACTAATTGCAGTTTAACAGTAATGATGCTTAATTTAATTCACAAAAATATTGTTGATTTTTCGCTTTGCATTTTTTGGTGAATGCAAGAAAGCTGTGGATCACTCAGACAATTATCTGATTCTAATCCCTGAGTATTGTCTTCAGGCTGGTCTGTAGCTCAGAAACAGTAATTCTCGCTGGTTTATTGTTATTTTGATTTGCACGTGCTGTCTTTGCCTGTCGTCTGTATTGTCTGTAAAAGATTCTGGTGAAGTGAAAGGATCATCTGCTCCTCATTTGCATGTTCAATGCAAAAAGTCTATGGAAATTATGAAATCCTTTTTATAAAGAATCTGTCCATGGAGAATGTGTTTGTGTGTTTTCTGGGGAATCCCTATTTACAAATAAATATGCATATACAGTAACTTAGTGAAATACTTTATCAAACTGAAATTTGCATCTGCTCATCAACATTCCCTGGGTGTGTGAAGCTAATTGGAGGCTCTGCTCTCTCTGAAGCGCTATTTGACTTTAATCTGATCTTTATTTCAACACAATTTGACCATGAAGAACTGACTTAGCTAGAACTAGGTGAGCTGATTTGTGCAGTTAAACAAGTCCCTCTTAAATAACATTACACTTACAAGGCAGCTTGCATAAGCCACCTTGAAAATCAAACACCTATACACGACTATGAACGCTCATATTGATCCACAGGCTCCTGAAAATGTGTTGTTATTGTCATTGTTGGTTTTGATAAAGTATTTTGATTTTGATTAAGTATAAATTTTGATCAAGAAAAAAAAAATCTAACATGGCTTAAAGCTCACTAGAGTCATTTTAGCATAATATACACTGAAAAAGACGTTGTTGGATTTGCGTTAAAAAATGTTATGGAAAGCGGTTGCATGCAATAAAATTATGTTTAGGCTTTGAAACTTATTTTGATCCCCTCTACACATATTTTTCTCAAAACATGAACGTCACTTTTTCATGTTGATGAAATTTGATAAATTCATGCTGAATATTCATATTTATCTTAGGTTACCTTATCATGAAATGTATAAGTATGTATAATTTTATTTTAATTAAATTTAATTAATCTAATTAATCTAACTCTATAAAAGAATACAAAAACAGACTTTAGTTTTCCACAGTTCTGTATTGTCTTAAACAGGATTTTTTTTTTTTTTTTTTTGTTTCAAGTTGTCAATGATAGCATTATAGAGGTGCAGTACCTTGTAATTATGATGACAAAAAAAGAGAATAAATTCACAACTCTGGACGTGGTGGGGCCAGCTAACATTTGGACAGGCCTCGTGAGCACACAATCAAACTCCCTACGTTTCTAGCGTACTGACTGCCTGCGCGCCGCGGTACGTGGTTTAGTGCCTGTCACGCAGTCCACAGACGCAAGACGCACAGACGCTGTTTACTCCACCAATGCAACAGTTCTTAGCGGCTTTTTTTGACCTATATCTTCCTCGCAGTTAGCACAAAGTTTGTTGCAATGGCAGACAAAATCCAGGAGCAGTTAGCCGCAAAAGAAAGTCCGTTTTTGAGGTCGCTGAAAGAAGAAGACAAGGGGAAAAACAGCGAAGCCAAACTGGTGATTCTTGTAGATTCATTCAGCGATGGCGCGACTGAAGCAGACGCAGGGTCTAAAGACTGACGCATTGGTCATTACTCCTGGACAGGTAACTTCTGCTTATTATGAAAACGTACTTTATTTCAAGAGCTAGTAAACGTTTTTCAGGACACGAAAGCGATATCTATGTCTGAAAACGTAATTTTCAAGGCAAAGAAAGAGTCCGCTTGCTGCTGCGTGTTGTACTAGTTCATTCGCACTGAATCTCGCAACCTTCTCTGCACCCCTTTCCTATCCTGTCCCCGCTGCCCGTTCCGCTCTCCCCCTTCTCCTCACTTCTACGGGCACGGAATCTCGCGCACCGCTTTCCTCTCTCCTCTCTCCTCTCTCCCTGCTCCGCTCTTCTCCCTGCTCCTCACTTCTCGTCCGCGAACGAAATGTCCGCACACTTCCTCACTTCTCCGCCTTGCCTAACAACACTGTAGTTAGTTGTTTACAAGTCATGTGCAGCTACCGGCTGTAAACAAACCTGTTTCTGGCGTAGTGAGGAGGCGGGAGAAGGCGTTTCTACGTAGGGAGCTGTAGGGGAGGGGGTGGTTTCACAT